ATTCCTTATTATGGGTTTACTTCTGTTTTATGTTGTCAAAGTCCTAAGTAGCAGTAATATAATAGAATAATAGTAGTAGAATAGTAATACTAGAGTATCCCTGAAAAAGATACTCAGGCGTCCAGGCCCCCTCTCTAAATGACAATGTTGCTACCTTAATTCATTTCACATCTTTTTAAGATGTGACCTATAAGCATCAACAATTCATAAGCAAACATAAAAATCTACTGTATGGACAAGGTTAGAAAATTTGCTTAAGTCCAAGGTCTTGAACCTGAAAATTAAAATAGCATTGTAAAACCTCATGCACTTCTGAGTTTTCTCTTTCTTTTCTTACTTTTAGATACACAATTGTTTGTTTTTAATTACTCACATATGGAAAATATGTTCCTATTGTTTGCCTCGGGCAAGAACACTGTGCACTTCATAAAGCCGCCGTGCCTCAATAAGCCCAATGATCCTATGAATCAGATAAAAACAAAGAGAAATAGGACCCATGATACCATATGCAGATCTGACTTAATCAAGTCAATCGCTCAATTTCCCTATGGAACAAATAAGGTATTTTTCTATTCTATTATGCAGTACTCTTTAAGATCAAATGTATAATCCCATCCAAGCACTCCTTTCTGAGGGCAAGAGAACCAATATTTCAGTGCAAAGAATAACTAAATTAAATAAATAAAATGTCAAATAATAAAACAAAAAATTAGGCCTTTGCATTTAAATGTAAATGTACCTGGTTCATGCTGAGCTGGCCTTTCTCCAAGGCCTGGCGAAAACCCATCTTTCCATGGAAGAAGCCTTGAGGGTTAACGAGTGTGGAAATCTGTTGGAGGTGCTGATACACAGGGGTGCCCTCAGACAGGTTGGCATGGAGGCCAATTGGGATTTTGTGTCTAATTTAAGAGATCAAATTAAAAAACATTAAGATGAGAAGAGCAGTTATTCACCTTTTGTGATGGCAACTAAAATTGTCCATTTTCTTTAATATTTTAATGGTCCTCTGTAAGGTTTTCTGAGACTTAATTTGGGGTTTCTACACGCTTTAAGTCACAATAATAGAAATTAACAGAAATAAGCATCTTTCTTGTAAATAACTTATCTACTTAAGTTATTTACAAATCAGACACATAACTAACAAGATATATCAATGAAATATTAATAGCATAAAAATCCACAAATTATGAATGGTTGAAAGAAGAGACTTTTTTTAAAAAAGGTTTTGTTGGCTCTAGTGGCCTTTAGTTTGACAGGAAAGAGGGTTATGAGAGAGGGGGAAGACATGTGGCACCAGGCCAGGAATCAAACCTGCGACCACCGGCATTAGGACTAAGGCCTCAATACATAGGTTGTGCTTTGCCCCTGAAAGCAGAGGCTTAAATAAAAAGACCAAAATGTTGCTATATAAGAACCATTCAAATACAATTTGTATTTTCACCTTTTTAAAATTCCCACTGGCTGAGCAATGGTAAATGGACTGAACTTATATAGCGCTTTTCCGATCATTTTGATCACTCAAAGCACTTTACACTAGAGTCACATTCACCCATTCGCACTCACACATTTATACACCAGGCATAGGCAATTTGGGGTTAAGTGCCTTGTCCAAGGACACATCAACATGTGGTAGGGGGAAGCTGGAATCGAACCTACAACCTTACAATCACAAGACAACTACTCTTCCCACAGAGCCACAGTCGCAATCCATATTTCAGTACTTTCAAGACAGCGCTATTTATTGACTCCCTTTGTTGTTAGCCTCTTTGGAAATATTTTGTAAAACTTTCCAAATTGAAAGCAATAGCAGGGTTTCCTCCAGAAAACTTGCAATCAAGTCAGGACACCGAGGCAGTCCACCGGGGTTTTGTATTAAAAGATGTTAAGTTGACAGGAAACATAAAATATTACTAAATTATATGCTAGTAGGTCGACAGACTGGCGACCTGTCAAGGGTGACCCCGCCTCTCGCCCGAAACGTTCACTGGAGATAGGCACCAGCACCCCTCCTGACCCCACTAGGGACAAGGGTGTACAGAAAATGGATGGATAGATATGTTAATTATATGAACTAAGAGAATATCAATGAAATTAAATTTAATTT